GGCGGGGGGGAGCCCCGCTGTGCGCCCAGCTGTGTGCCTCGCTGTGCCTGCATGTCTTCTCTTTGCTTGTAGTGCTCTCCCTAGGACCCGCTGGACAGCAGAAGGCGGCGGAATGGCAGCATGTTTCTGGGCCTGAGACTTAGCTTCCAGCCCCAAAGGGCCCCGAAAGGCCCCACTGCTCACTCCTGGGGTAGCCCATTAGGCTGACCAGGGACAGGGAGCCTGAGAAGAGACAGACAGGACTGGGAAGAGGCTGCAGTCTGCTGCCTCCATGCTCTCCCTAGGACCCGCTGGACAGCAGAAGGCGGCGGAATGGCAGCATGTTTCTGGGCCTGAGACTTAGCTTCCAGCCCCAAAGGGCCCCGAAAGGCCCCACTGCTCACTCCTGGGGTAGCCCATTAGGCTGACCAGGGACAGGGAGCCTGAGAAGAGACAGACAGGACTGGGAAGAGGCTGCAGTCTGCTGCCTCCATCATCTTCCACTGTGCTGCTGGAGCCAGAATGGGACCCAGTGTTCTGCCCAGCAACCTGGTCCTTCCGGGGCAACACAGAGCATGCTGGCATCCTGAGAGCACAGGGCCTTGGAGCCAGGCTGCCTGCCTCAGGACAGCAGCCCTGGCAAGAGGGAATTGGCGAGAGAGGCAGGTGCACTCCTGACATGGACTGAGCTAAACAGACGTGGGGAGCAGGTGTCCCTTCCTATGCAGCAGGCAGACGCAGGAGCTCCCAGCAAGCCTCCCTCACCCACTGTGCAAATGCAGCAAGGGTTCTTCCCGGTCCCTGGTCTGTGCACCCAGTCTGTGCCGGGAGCTGGCCGTCAGCACTGGCAGGCATCGGAGCCCCGTGCTGGGCCAGGGCAGGACTGCAGAGACTAGCACACAAGCTTGGAGACTCAGGGTGACAGTGCAGTTGCTGCTCTAAGCTAATTTGCACCTGGCGTGCTCTGTGCTGCCTGCACCCACAGCTCCATCTGAGCAGGCTGGTGGCCCTGGGCCCGCTGCCGAGAGCCAGCTGACTGTTGTAACCGAGCATCGCTGCATTGGTGCACACGCCAGCCGTCTGCAGATAGCCGAGGCCAGACAGGGCCTCCCTGGAGAAGAGGGAGTGATGTGGCAGTCGTCAAGTCTAGATATCTGGCATTCGTGGGGTCTCTTCCTGGGGGTGGGTACCTGGAGGGGCCAGTGCTCAGCAGTGGGGAGTTAGCTGCGGAAGAGGGAGCCTTTTTGCTCCCGCCGGGCTCTCTTGCTGAGACCTCTTGAAGCTAGTGACTGCCCCCTGGAATGGGGGCTGGTGCCAGCTCGACACGGGTGGCTATGCTGAATGCCTCCCTGCCTGTGAGCAGCCAGGTGATGGACAAGGGCGTGGTGAGGCACCCTTGGCACTGCCTGCAGGCCTGCTGAAACTGCTCTGTCCCTGCCCATCTGTGCTAGGGCGTGTGCAGGCGAGGTTCTGGTGGCGCAGTGCCTCCTGCCTGGAGCGGGCAGGCTCAGCACACTTAGGGCTGGCTGGAGGCTCACCCGGAGCAAAGCTGCTGCTGTGTGAGGGGCAGGTCTCTAGAGATTGACGGGTGGCATGTGGCCACCTCTTGTCACTGGCGCTTGCTGCTTTAGGCCATTGCTATGTGGGGGCCTGCCTGAGTATGGGATTGCTCCATGCCGTCGACTCACCTGTGCACCCAGAGCTCCACAGCCAGGTGCACGGTGAGCCCTGGCTCGCTGGTTTGGAAGGCATCTGCCAGGGTACATAAGGGGCCATGGGAGCTTGCAGCACCCTCCCTGCTTGCATGTGCCTGGAGGCTCCAGGAAGGACCTTCCATGGCAAAGGCAGCGCTCCTGTCCTGCTCTCCGGGGGCTTTAGCATTACCCACAGCTGGGAGGTGAGACGCAGCGCGGGCTGGCGGACCCCTCGGGCCGTTAGTCCCCAACGTCCCTGCACGAGTCCTGAGAGCTAACCTCTGGTTCTCCCTTAGGACCCTGCCTCCAGGCCTTGTGCATGCTCCATGGGCGTGCAGTCCCGGAGTGGCCTTGGGGACACAGACAAGACTCAGCCACTCTCGAGTCCCTGAAACTGCCTTGGCCTGTGTGGGCCAAGGTGGCTTCTGATGCCTGTGCTGTCCCTTCCTGCGCCCAGCTGGGAAGGAGCTATTCCAGCACCAGCCTTTATGGGCGCTGCGTTTGAGTACCGGCTGAGGTGCTTTCCAGGCTACTGCTGAGCATAGAGACTGCGGGGGACACAGACAAGACTCAGCCACTCTCGAGTCCCTGAAACTGCCTTGGCCTGTGTGGGCCAAGGTGGCTTCTGATGCCTGTGCTGTCCCTTCCTGCGCCCAGCTGGGAAGGAGCTATTCCAGCACCAGCCTTTATGGGCGCTGCGTTTGAGTACCGGCTGAGGTGCTTTCCAGGCTACTGCTGAGCATAGAGACTGCGGGGAGGGGAAGGGGGGCTCTGTCTCTGCTCCACCCCCTCCAGGTGACCTCTAGTGGAAGGGGCTTCCCATGCTGGGCATCCTGCTGAGCAGCATTGCTGGTGCCAGCTGCCCCTGGACCGGCCGTGCCTGCCCCACGAGCTAGCAGCAGGAGGCAGGAGGAGTTTGTGGCTGGCGAGAGGCATGTGTGCTAGCCTGACCCACAGCTGCCCCCGGTTCCCTTGAGCAGTGCCCTCTCGGTTCTGTTCAGCACTAGCCCAGCTCCTGCTCCCACTCCCTCGTGTGCGGGAGGCCTCGCCCACCGGTCCTGGCCACCTGTTTCTTCTCATTAAAAGCATCATACCCGTCCTTGCCGAGCTTCCCTTTCTTTCTCATTACGGACCGCTCCACGGAACTGCATGCCGCGGGCTGGGGGGGGAGCTCCTGGAAGGGAGGCTTTTGGGCATGACAGTGGCAGCCAGAAAGCCCTTGTGCTCTGGCTTTGAGCAACGCCTCCGGGTAGGAATAGCTTCCCTCTCCCCCCGAGGTGGGGGCTGGGGGGGCCGGGTGCCCAGCGGGCTGCAGCAGGTGTCCTGGCTGGAAAATCAGTGGGTGTTGAAAGGCAGGGCTAGCGTCTGCCCTGGCCCTTGTCTCACGCTGCATAAGCGTGCAGTAACTGGGCTGCTCCCGGAGCCGGGGCCAGTCTGCTATTCCTTCTAACTGTCCATCCATGTGTGGAATCACCGTGATGTGCACTGAGGCATGTGCACCGCTGAGAGACATGCATGCTGCCTGCGGGTGCGCCAGTACTCACGTGGGCAGCGTTTCAGTCTCCAGAGTGGCCACTCCAGCGCGCCGCGTGCAGGGAACACTGGTTCCAGCCCAGGCCTGGGCAGCTACACTGCAGTTCCTTACTCCCTCTGACGGAGGCCAGCCCAGGTGCTTTATTGTAGGGGATGCCCCAGAGGCAGCAAATAGACCTTGGACGCAGCAGGCAGGGAGCCAGAGAAACTCAGTTGCTGGGGTCTCAACCTGTAAGCGAACCCTGTTTCCATAAAGCCAAGTGTCTGGCTACAGGCAGGAACAAAGCCCGTAGGCCACGTTCCATGAGGGCGGCTGCCCTGGGAAGCAGGACTGACGCAGCTGGGAGGGGCGAGGTGCTCCTGCCTCTGGGTGGCACTAGTGTCGGTGTTGGGGGCGGGCCAGAGAAACTCAGTTGCTGGGGTCTCAACCTGTAAGCGAACCCTGTTTCCATAAAGCCAAGTGTCTGGCTACAGGCAGGAACAAAGCCCGTAGGCCACGTTCCATGAGGGCGGCTGCCCTGGGAAGCAGGACTGACGCAGCTGGGAGGGGCGAGGTGCTCCTGCCTCTGGGTGGCACTAGTGTCGGTGTTGGGGGCGGGGGCCAGGGGGTCAGAAGAGCCAGGCGAATAACTGGAGGGTTAGAAAGCCTGCCTTCTTCTGGGGACGGGCCCCAGAGGCCAGTCGCTGGAGCTTAGCCCTTCCCCTTCTCTCTGCTATCTTGAGGAAGGCCTGCAAGGGCTGTGGTGGGATACCAGTCTAGCAAAGGCGTTACACAGCCCATGGCTGGAGAATGACGCAGCGTTTGGTTATTGCCAGGGGCTCGGTGCTGTGCTCTGGGCTGGGTGCAGGGCTGGCTCCAGGCCCCCTGGGTGGGCCAAGGCCAGTACCTGCTGGGGTTGTTTGGCTTCCGGTCCCGCTCTCCGCCTGGCAGGGGCGAGCCATCAGCCCCGAGGCTGGGGCCTGTGCTCATGCTGAGGGCTGGCAGCATCCCTGCTCACGGACTCTGGCTGGCTGTGTGGGAAGCTCCATCAGTCGGGCCCCTGCCAGAGGAGCTGCAGCGAGGCGTCCCGCAGGACCTGCCTGGCCTTGGTGTGGAGGGAGGGAGGGCTGGGCATGGCCTGTCACTGGACGCGGCTGAGAGCTTGGCAAGGCGGGATTAGTCTGAGCTGATCCCCGGCCAGACAAGGCAAGCCAGCCCCTGAGAGAGGGCAAGTCTAGGGTCCCCCCACTGGCGGGCTGCCCTGGAGTTGGAGTGACAGGCCCAGGGGTGGGAACTCCTCCAGGGGGAGTGGCTCTGCCCCATGGGATGGTTCCCGGGGTCGCCTAGGCCAGAGTGCTCTTCCTGGGGCCTAGAGAAGCCTCCTAAAGGAAAGGGTCCTGGTTGCTGTCCGTAGGGCCAGGCAGTCCGATGGACTAGCTGCCTCCGAGCCGGTCTGGGGTGAGATCTGGCCCCAGGAGCTGTGCAGGCTGCCAGGGGCTCTGGCGATGGCTTTGCATGCAGAACGGCTGCAGCCAGCCCAGCAGCGCTGGGGCTGTGAACTCTGGAGCCGAGAGCTGCTGCGGCTCCGCCCTGGCACTGCCCTCTCCCTCTGCCTGGACCGTGCCCAGGGTGGTGCACGCAGCATTGCTGCTGCTCCAAACCTTGCCTGTGGCGCTGCCGCCTGCGGGCCTCAGCACCATCTCCTGGGCTCAGGTCTGCTCCTTGCTGTCCCACTCGGGCTGGCTGGGTGAGCAGGGGCCAGGCAGGCGGGGCTGGCCCCGGGTGGGGATCGGGAAGGTTCAGGCTGGCTCTAGGGCACTCGGGCTGGCTGCAGAGTTCCTCGAGGAGGCATCGTGGGACTGAGGCGGGGGCGGGAAGAGGGATGTTTAGACGCTGCGTTGCTGCTGGACACTGCAATCGGGCAAGGGCTCAGCCCACCAGGGCAGGCACTAACCTCTTCTCCTTCCCTTGCAGAACAGAGAGAGAGACGGCACCCCCTACGCAGAGTACGGCGGCTGGTACAAAGCCTGCAAAGTCAGCAGGTGAGGCGGGGGAGGGGTCTCTGCAGGGCTCTAAGCGGCTACAAAGTGCACAGTTTGGGTCAATGGCTCTGCGCACCCCCACTGCACACTCTGTTCCTGAGCCCACAGCGTCCGCATCTGCAACCTGCCGCACTGGAGCCCAGGTGCTGTCTGCCACCCCTGCACTGCAGCACAGCCCCTCAGTGCTTTCCTTGCGTCACGCTGCCTGCCCTGCCCAGCACGCACCGAGGGGCTGGGACACCCAGAGCTGAGCTACTGTTACCCCTTTGCCCCTCACCTCGAGACTGCCAGCCTGGCAGGAACCGGTCCCTCCCCACACCTGTCTCTGCGGTGTCCGGTCCCTCTCCCTGTGGTGCTCCTGGGGGTTCACAAGCTGGCTGCCCCCAGAGACAGGGCACGCAGACTGCCCCGACTCCCGTGTGCAGCCCTGAGATGGCTCAGTAATGCTGCTGCTTGAGGGGCAGAGGTTTCAGTGGTGCTAGGCAAGGGAAAACATGGCAGGCACGGTGACAGATAACACGTTCCTAGTGACTAAAGCAAGTGTAGCAGGTTACACGCTTGCCAAAGCAGCCTCCATCCCGCCGCTCCCCAGACTAGACGCAGCTCAGCGGGCACTGTCCCCTCTGCCCCCTGCGTGGGACAGCAAAAATAGCTTTTGGCTCCCCATGTTAACCGAAGTCCATCGTCTCTGCCTCGTGAGCCAGAGAAGCTTCTTGGGGTGCAGTCCGACCCTGCTGGGCTCAGTAGGCACCTTCTCCTGTGCTCGTTAGCGTGACTGCTGGCTCTCATACGGAGAGTGACTTGCAGGCCGAGGACCCTGGCCCTGGAAGAGCTCTGTGTGGCTCCAGAGCATGGCTCTCCCCGGCTCCAGAGCATGGCTCTCCCCAGTAGAGACCAGACACCCCCCTGCCAGTGGGTGTGTGGAACCCAGGCAGTCAGACAGGGAACCCACATGGCTCACAGCAGGCAGGCTGGACGGAGGAGCTGCCTTCCAAACCCACGCTCAGAGCCTGTTTCCGGCGGGTATCCCTCAGGCTTCGTACCCACCCTGGCCGTCGTCGATGGTTTTCAGGGCCAGCCCGGCTATCTCGCCTGGCGTTGCAGAGCTGCGGCCGGCCAGCGGCGAGTGAGGGCAATGCATGCCGGGCCTGAGCCCAGCGACGTATGGGATGCTGGCTGCCAGTGGGCAGGGGGGCCGGAGGGGTCACAGGGAGCTCCTCAAGGGCGTGCAGCATCTGTGTGGAGAGTTGATGGCCAGGCCTCCCGTGCAGCATGACCCACCCCAGAAGGCCAGGTGTCCGGCAGCTCCAGTCCCAGGGCGCCCATGGCTGCATGCCTCGCTCCAGACGATCAGAGGGGTCCAGTGCAGCCGTGGCCCCTCTGCTCTCCCCAGTGAATTTGAACCCCTCGGACACTCCCAGCACTGACCCCCACAGCTGAGCCTTCCCAGGGGGCGGGGGCGCCAGGAGCTGCTGGGGGATAGATGGACGCTACCTCAGCCTCGCGTTCCCTCTTGCCTCTAGCCCCACAGTGACCTCCACCCTGCGGAACCTAGGTTCTCTGTACAGGCGCCAGGGCAAGCTGGAGGCAGCGGAGACGCTGGAGGCGTGTGCACTGCTGTCTCGGCGGCAGGTAAGCCTGGGATGCCCTGGCAGGAGGACAGTGGGATGGGGCTTGCTAGCTAGCTCATCCCCTCAGAGTGGCTAAACGATTTCCTGGACATGGGGCCTGTGATGCCTCCCCCTCCCCCACTTCAGGCTCCATAGGCTGGCGGATTGAAATCCGGGCAGTCCCATTGGCTCACCCTGGAGCTGGGGCGGTGTCTGCAGACCAGCAAGGAGCTGCAGTTGGGGAAGGACGCCTGGCTGGTAGCTCGGGAGCCATTTGTCAGTGCTACAGATGCTGCTGGGGAGAGGGAGGGGAGTTTTCCCCGGCTGAGGCATGCCGAGATCAAAGGGACAGCTGGCCCTGAGGTTCCAGGCCTGGTGGTGCAGCTGAGGGCTGTGAGGAGCGGCATGGCTCAGCTGCTAACGAAGGGGGACGGCCGAGCGTGGAGGGGAACAGCGCGTGCACTGGGCTCTGTGGAAGGGCTCCGGCGGGAGACCCTAGCAATCTGCTCGGTACCGGGGGCTGGCTGGGTGGTTCAGAGCGCTGAACGGGAGACGACAGCCTGTCCGGCACGGCCTCTGCAGCGGGCAGCAGTGCCCTCGGGGCTGGACGTGCCAGCAGGGCTGCTGTGGAGTAGGAGCGAGTGGATTGAGGTTTTTTGGCTTTCAAGGGGCCTTCCACAAGGCCCCTCCCAAAGGGCTGTGGCTGGGGGCAGAGGTGTGCAGGCAGTGGCTGGTGGGGCTGCCAGCTCTCTGGCCACTGTGCCGTCAGACCCTGCTAGCGGGGCTCTGCCTGGCCCTCGTGTCCTGCTCTGCAGGCCCATTCAGACGCCCTCCTCTCTCCCCTGCTGTGTGTGCTGCCCCATTGGGGCCCAGCCCCCCGAGTGCTCTGGGCCTGGAGACGGGCAGTGGGCTGGGCCCTGCCGCGTCCCTGGGGAGATGGTGGCGCTGGCTCTCGGTAGCGGGGAGGGGCCAGCAGTGACTTGCATCCTCTTGTGCAGGGCATTGACCTCATGAACCAGACCAAGGTGGTGGAGCTCCTGAAGGAAGGCGCCGGCATGGAGAGGAGGGGCCGCGACAGCCTGGGGGGCAGTGTCAAGTACGAGAGCTCCACAGACGGTAGCGAGGAAGTGAGTATGGGCGTGGAGTGGAGCGGGGTAAGTACAAGTCCACCATCAAGAACTGCCTAGGCCAGCCGGGAGAGGCAGGGGGCAGTCCCTGCCCAGGACAGGGAGCTGATGGCCTGTCGTGGCATCCCCGCCTGCCTCCTTCATTCCCTGCCCTGCCCTCTCTCGCCAGTAGCCAGCCAGGCCAGGGAGAGGAGCGCCTGGCACTCGTTCCTGCTCTCAGTCCCGGGGCGGCTGCTGGGCCTGGCGTTGCCCCTAACCCTGCCTTGGCATTCCCATTAACACCTCTGCTGGCCATGGCTGCATATCTGGCTGACTGCCAGCTCTGCGGGGACCCCCGAGGGGGGCTGGCACAGCTCCCTGTGGCGGGCAGCAGCCTCAGGGTGCCCTACGGGGGGTGTGTGTGTATGTGTGTGTGTGTGAGTGCGTGTGAGAGAGAGATGGGTGTGGGGAGTGGGTTTGAGCTGCAGGCAACTCCGCACCCTCCCTGCTGTCCCGGGGCTGAATGCATGGGGCACTCTGCCCCCTCGTGCTGTCAGCCTGAGGGCTGGGGCTGGGGTTCAGGCTCAGCGGGAGCACAGGCCGGGCGGGGGGAGAAGGTGTCTCCATCCCCTGGTCACTAGTCTTGTCGGCAAAGACGACTGAGTTCTTGCCCTGGTTGTGGCTTTCGTCTGGCTCTGGAGGCCAGGGCAGGCAGATGTTCTTTCCATTGCTAAGAGGGGCACCAGCTTCCTGGCCCGGGAGTAAGCCTGTGGGTCCCGCAGCACTCTAGGGTCAGACTGTAAAGGGCGGGGGGGGGTCATGGTGCAAGGGAGAAGGGCTGCGTTCTGCCTCCATAGGGGAGGCTGCAGCTAGTGCCTGGGCACGTGAGCTAGAGGGAGAGAGCACGGTGCATGGGGGCGTGGGCTTGGCCTAGGCTAGGCACCTCCTCACTGCTGTGCCCCTGACTACATTAACACTCCCACCTCCCCTTCTCCGTCCGCTCACTGACCCCATGCTACGCACCCCCACCCTGCATGAGCCTTTCCGCCACCCCACCCCTCCCCTCCTGTGCCATGACAGCCCGGCAGCACCATGCCTCTTGCTCTCTTGATTGTGGATTGTACCCCAGAGACCACTGTGGGGCAGCCCTGGGGTGGGAGCCGACCCTGCAGCTCTCTCTGGGGGGGGCTGGAGGACTGCCCTGCCTGGATGGGTCGGCGTAGAGAGCTGTCAGGCACTGGGTCCAGAACTCCCCTACCACTGATCTCCTGGCTTGCCTTCCCCTGCGTGGTTCCACCCGTGCTGTGTGTCTACACTGTTGTACCCCAGAGACCACTGTGGGGCAGCCCTGGGGTGGGAGCCGACCCTGCAGCTCTCTCTGGGGGGGGCTGGAGGACTGCCCTGCCTGGATGGGTCGGCGTAGAGAGCTGTCAGGCACTGGGTCCAGAACTCCCCTACCACTGATCTCCTGGCTTGCCTTCCCCTGCGTGGTTCCACCCGTGCTGTGTGTCTACACTGTGGGTCTCATGTGAACGTACAGCACCTGGTTGCAGCCACCGCTGTGTGTTCGCATCGCGTCTTGTGCACAGTGGGCCAAGTGAGGTGTCTGCTGAAAGCTGCTGCTTTGCTGACTCTGTTCAGACTGCGCCTGGGCATGTAGGACTCCTGAGGAACTTCTCTGGGAACCTTCAGACCAGCCTGCGAGCGACGGCTGCTATGGAATCTGGCATGGACGGGGCGCTTGCTCGTGGCACACTCCACAGTGGGACAACCATGGGATTCCCTCTGCACGGGCAAGGGGAGGAAGAGGGTGTAATATATCAGGTGGTCGGGGCATCATTGAGAGGGTCAGATCAGGGTGAATTGCTCAGACCCAAAGCTACTTGTAGCCTAAGATGGGGCCCTTCCCTGTAAGGTGCCAAACTAGCTGCACTGAGCATGTCAGCTACCAGCCTGACCAGCACGAAGCCTCCCAAGCAAATCCTCTCGCCACCAAAGTGTTCCCTGTGCCCCCTCCCCCCCAACCACCACCCACCTCACACAGGGGAGAGGTTAGAACCCATCCCCCACCTCCCCTCACACACTCCAGTGTTCCCTGTGCCCCCCCAGCCCCCCCTCACACAGGGGAGAGGTTAAAACCA